AACATTTGAATTTTTAGATTATTTCCAAACTCAAGCTATTATGATCAATGCTGCTGTTAACATTTGTGACATTGAGTTTGGTGTCCGATATTCTCTAGCCTTCATATACAAGCAGTGGGATGGCTAGAAGAGAGTTATATATATCTTCAGGATAAATATTTATGTATCACTCAAAAGCAGGTAATCTTAACTTGTATATAAGTGTCTTTATACTCTACATTTGTCAAAATGTTTTCCAAAACGGTTGTGCCAATTTACAAACACAGCAGGAGTGAATGATAGCTCCTAGTTCTTCACAGGCTTGATAGTACATGAAATTACTAGTCTATTTCTCTTTGTTTCTCCTCCAGTTATTCTTAGTTTGGGATTTTTCTGTCTTCTTGTTTATTCGTGTTGCATCCTCAGTATTAATTCCTTCTTCACTTATTTCTAATCTGTTAAAGTTAGTTATTAAGTTCTTAACTTTGGTCATTGTCTTTTCTGATTCTGAAATTTCAGTTCAGTTCTTTCTGAAATATGTAATGACACTTTATGTAGTTTCCAGTTTCCTTCCAATTAAAAAAAATCCCTTTATTTCTTTAAATACGATATTGATAATATGCATTTGAAAATTATAATATCTTAATTCTTGAATAATCTACTTGTCTTTTAGTATGTCTGCTGAATTCTAATATCTGAAGTATTATTCCCTTTCATCTGATGCCTTTGTTGTTTGTTTAGGATATCAAATTCAAGAGTTATTTGAAGTAATAACTTGAGGCCTAAAATGAACATACTTTCACCCAAAGGCAATCATGGTATTCTTCCTTCCTTCTTTTCTTCTTTCCTCCTTCCTTCCTTCCTTCCTTCTTTTCTTTCATTTGTTTGTCCCTGTCAAGTATTTCAGAGTCTCTCCAAGTCCATATAGCACCTTAAATTGTAATAAAATTTGAGACAAATTCTACAACTTTGGCTTTTAATCCAAAGGATTGAAAAAGCAAGGTTTAGAAAGGTGAAGTTGAAGTAAGACAAGTTTTTTTGCCTTCCTCTTCTGTAACCTATTGTGTGACTTTGAGTTCAAACTCTTTCTTCCTAAGTTTTCTCATCTATGAAAAAAGTACATCACCAGTAGTCCCCCAGATGAAGATTTTTAAATTTTGTTTACAGTTTCCACTGTCTTTGTTGATTTTTGATGCCATATTTTGGCATGTGTTGGTTTTGTTTTGCCTTACAATTTTGGAGTATATTGAGTACTTATTTCTCCTTTTTGGTTAAGTGCTTTTGAAAGTGGTGCTCATGACTTTTTACCATATTTCTCACTATATTCAGTGTCATACCTAATGCAGCAGCTGCTCAATGGATGTTAAGTGGAAAAGCCATTTAACATGTGAATAAATTTTAGAAATAGTTATGTTTATACAAGTGATTAAATCAAGCTAAGTATTGCCACAGAAAAGGAACAAGTTTCTCTTCTATTAAAGTTCCCGGAGCATCAACCTAATTTAAAGCTTTAAAATCATTGATCCAGAAGAGGAATGATAGGATGTAATAAAGGTTTATTTAGGGCATACAATTTAAAAGCACATTCATCAATAATTCATCAACTCTCTTTAAAAGGATCCTTAGTATAACCGTTTCTAGTCTGTGCCATTAATCAATTCTAGTTGACATTGCTGTGAACAGATTTTGACAACAGACCTGTGAAACAGATCAATTTGTATAGGGATTTACATATGAAGATAAAACTAAAATCACTCCTAATAAGAAATTTATCACACTAAGAAAATGTAAAAATTTAGTATTTTAAATAATTCTGAAGAAATGAGGAAAAATGAAAAAAATCACTAATAGCATATCGTTTATGCCACATCTTTCATTTAACTATGTGATAAAGTTAACTTCTTGATTTTTAACAATCCTTCACCTTAAAGAGTCTATTCAATTTTCTGAGTGTTAAATTACTGCTCAACTTAACCAGTTTGTTAGGTTTTGATGGTCCTTGAAAACAGCGAATGTCTATGGCTCAAAATTATTAGGAGGAGATTCAGTCAAGATCTTTCACAAATATTCTTTCAGTTGGTTTGTAAAGTGGTAGATGTTCATAACATAGAGATGAATGAGTTGCATATGAAGAAGTAAGTTACTACCACTTATAATGCAATATGATATAATCCAAGGCCATATTAATTACAGAACTTCCTGGTTATATTTCTATGCCACCTGAATTTGAACTTTATTATAGAATTCCCTTAATGCATTCTAACAACCTCGGAACCTTCTTTAAGTATTTGCTAAATCTATATTTTGTCCAAACAACCAAATGAAAAGTAGCAAATTCTGCCAATTGTTTGAAAGTTTTATTATATACTTTTTTGTTATGTATTTTATTTTTTTAATTTCTCAAAAACATAGGAAACCACTACTTTAAGGTTCAGTGTGGAGCACAAAGTCAGACTTCCGGTTTTAAAATGCAGGTTCTGTCTCTCAAAGTGATTTTCAGCAAATCAATCACTTTTTTCTTACAGAAATTTCCTCCTGCACAAAGTGAAAGTAAAAGTACAAATTTCTTATAGAAGAATAAGGCGTTAGAGTAAAAAAAAACCATAGACTTTAGATGTACAGAGTTCATTATGAGCCATTATTAAATCCTTTAATAAATTGTAATAGCATTTTCACAATTACACATGAAAAGCAAGAAAAACATAGTTGCTTTGTAAGTATACTTTTTAAACCATTACAAGTACATAAAATGGGTGACCAATCATTATAAGCTAATTATAACATATATTAGCATAAATTATTCAGTATTAATTCTTTAGTGTAAATCTCTTCTTTTAAGTATTCATTTTTCCTTCTTAAAACTAGCTTTTAATTTTTTAATTTTAGTTTTATTTGTCATACATTAGTGATACAAGAGGATTTCATTGTGATAATTCCATGTAAGTGTACAGCGTATCTTCAGCGAGTTCCCCCCTCCTTTATGTACCCATTCCTCCTCTCCCTCTTTGTCCATCTTTCAACATGGTTGGCGGGTATGTATGTACATATGCAGTGCACTTCCATCCTCTCCGCCTCTCAGTGTCCTTAGATAAAGACATTGGAATCATCAAGATTGGCTGTATTTTATATACCATATTAAACACTGACTTTTTATTTTTTCATTAATGTGTTATGATACCATTTGGATTAAACAAGTCAATAGTGTTAAAATTTTGATTTATTCTCAAAACCTTTTATCTATTGACCCATAAGCGCCAATAACCATTAACATCAAATGCTACTATGAGATGAAAAAATCATTACCTTAACAAAAATAGGAATTTCTCTTTTTTCATATATTCTATAACCCTTAAGAGGCAGCTCCAATCTAGTATGGCATTTCACATGTCATGGATGTAGACTTCTCTCTTATTTCTTTGCCATGTATGGTGTCATTACCAGAGTACCACTCATTACATGTTCATTCCAGCTGGCAAATAGTAACCAGGACTACAAGAAATGTTGCATAAATCACCTGCTTTTATTGCATTGGCCAGAAAATTAGTTACCTGGCTTCACCTTGCCTGAAGTAAGACTCTGGATTATGCTTATTTTTAGTAGTGCTAAAATGGAAAAAGAAAACCCTGATGAGGGACAATTAACCACATCTACTCTAGCTGTCCATTTACTGACATATTTTACTGTAAGATGACATATAAACAGTTAAGCAAAACTAAATTGTTAAAAAGAGAAAGCATAAGTAGTTTGGAAATCCAAGATTTCAAAAATATGACAGCAATCACAATATCACCATTGTTGTACCTGAGCATCAAACGAAGTGCTGACTTTCTGGGTATCAAGGTAAAAATGGATACCTTGGTGAATACTTACATTAGTTTCATCATTTAATAAAAAAGGCATTACTGCAGCAGAAGGAAGCTCTTTGACTCTGAGCAATTGAAAAAATTGTCTCATGGTAATTTTTAGGGAAAATGAGTGTAATGATGGGTAATATTCCTATAACAGGTGCAGTGATTTTATTAGGCACTTAATGTTGTGTTTGAGTAAAAGCCAAAAGCAAAGTTTTATCTCACATCTCAATGAAGGCTGTTTTGTGTGTCCCTAAGGAAAAATAATTCAAAGAGAAGATCTTTGGGTATTCTGGCTTGGGCCCAGAGAAAGATTTTAGCCTGCTCAGAGAGCTGGGTGGACTATATGCATTACAAATGGTTATCTGTAAATATTATTGTTGCCAAAAGATTTTTAAACAACTTTACAAAATTAAGAAGTTGACTTATATTCCGTTTTGGACCAGCATGTATCAAACCAATTGAACTCTCTTAACACTGAGTGTTCAAAGCAAAAGGATCCTATTTGTTTAAAATGATTAAAAAAAAAAAAGTGAGCAGATGAAAGAGGCAGCCACAAAATTCAGTTTTCCAGATGTACCGAGTTAGACAGCTCACCAAAAAACTGATTTCTCACTGTGTAGTCCAGGCTGGTCTGTAACTCACTCTAGTACAGGCTGGCCTTGAACTCGCAATCCTCCTGTCTCTGCCTCCCAAGTGCTGAGATTACAGATGCATCTCATCACACTCAGCTGATTTTCTGATAGCAGTAGAATACAGGCTATTTTTGCAGTAAACACACACTTAAAATTATAGGAATGCATAATGAATAACTTTCAGTAAATGTGATGCTATGTCTCATGATAGACACAATAATGCCACAGCTTCTTAAATCCTATTGTATTTTTGATGAATCTTACATTGGTCCTGAGGTGACAAGACACATGAACCCAGGCTCCAATGAATTTTTAGTCACATTCGGCCCATTTTGACATGGCAATAATTAAATTAGAGGCAACAAGAAATTGGGTATTAAACATTTTGCAGTAATACAATGCATTAATGATGCATAAATTATATTCCTGTTAATTCGTTCAAATTTAGACTTCACATGCAAAAGTCTTTCAAGAATTCATTTTTACTTTTTAGGTAACAATATTGATTAACATCAAGGTTTTTCTTATCTCCATGTAGGAAGAGCCTTTTGTTATGGTTTCTGAAAATGTGTTGGGAAAGCCAAAGAAATATCAGGGCTTCTCCATTGATGTTTTGGACGCCTTATCAAACTACCTGGGTTTTAACTATGAAATCTATGTTGCACCGGATCACAAATATGGAAGTCCACAAGAGGATGGGACGTGGAACGGACTGGTAGGAGAGCTAGTTTTTAAGGTAAGGATTTATTTACTCATACCTACAGGTTTATATCTCATATCTCTCATACCTAAGAGTCATATCTCATATCTAAAGGTTCAGCTGGCACCCCTGAAGGTAATTTCATTAACTGTGAACAATATAGTGGCTGTGGTGTGGAATGCAAAAGTCTCACCCAATAGCATTTTATGAACTTCATGGAAAACAAATTGGATGACAAAATAGAACTTAACTTTTAAAATATTTCCTGCAACAGAAAAGGATTTAAAAGAAGGCTTTTCCTTTGCCAAACTCATGTCCTAAACATTTTGTCACTATATGGTACATGATAAAGTCACAATATAATTTGCAAACACAATTCATACCATTGTTTTCTTCTTAAAATGCTATATATATTTTTAAAAATTTGAAAATTTAGAAACTACTCATCTAGTTTGGAGATCTAAATGTGGTGCATCTACAATTATTTATATTTCTCTTCTTGCTCTTTGAATTCTCAAAAATGTATTTAAAGATCTATTTAGTTTTGTCATTGCTAACTACACTGTTTTTGAAGCTTGCTTATTAAATGCATTCATATTTAGAATTGTTTTATCTTTATAATAAATTGTTGAGTAGTTGGGTTTTTATTTACAATTTACTATTTTGATTTGTATTTGTCTTGTTATTCCTCTGTTCCCTCTTTTACTGCTCCCTTTTGGGGGATAAACTGAATATATGTTAAACCTTTTGGCAGTGCTAGGGATTGAGTTCAGGGCCTCCTGCTGGCAAGGCAAGCACTCTACCATTTGAGCAAAGCCCCCAGCCCTCCTCTACTTTGTTTTCTTTGTTTCTGGTTTTTGATTTTTATATTTTTGTGATACTAGAGTTTGAACTCAGGGCTTCACACTTGGTAGGCAAGTGCTCTAGCACTTGAGTGGTAAGTCCAGCCCTTTTTACTCTTTTTATTTTGGAGATAGTGTCTTGCTTTTTGCCTGGACCGGGATCCTTCTATTTTCTGTTTCCTGCTGTAGGCAGGCTGACAACAGGCAAATGACACTACACCCAGCCCTTTTCTGTTGAGATAAGGTCTCATGAACGTTTTTTTTCACCCGGGCTGGCCTGGAACCAGGATGATCCCAATCTCACCCTCCGTACTTGCTAGGATTACAGGCATGAGTCACTGAAATATATTTCAATATGTGAATTTATTTTCACTGTTGCCTCTTGTATCTCTTTGAATTTTTGTTTGTGTATGATTGGCCTAGAAATCAAAACACACCTTCTTAATTGATAGCTATGTAAACTAATATTATAGCACTTCATATTTAAAAAATAATAAACTATCAACAATATAATCCCATTTATACCCACCCTATCCTTTGTGCTAATGTAGTTAAGTATTTATATTTAATTAACTCCATTACAAAATATAGTTGTTGATTTAAGAAGGCATAAAAAGAAAAAAGGAAAATCAATGACATTTAATCAACTAGTTACTATTTCTGGAGATTTTAATTCCTTTTCTGTACCTAAGGTCCTATCATTCACCTTCAACAAAGACTTTTCTTTGGAATGGCTTAGGATGGAGCCCTGTAGGTGGCATAGATCCTCAGTTTTTAATAACTAAAAATGTCTTTACTGATATTTAAATTTTTAAATGATACTCTTACCAGATATCAGTTGTTAGTGGACATTATTTTTCTAACTACAGGAGACTCAAAATTCAGTCTCTATCTCCCTGTTACAGGCAACACTTGAAATCTTCTGTTTGGCTCTTTTCATCTCCTACCTGCTACTTTTTGCTAATTTTCTTAATATCTTTCAGTTTAGTAGTCAACCAACAATTTGAGAGAAGTTTATGAACAGATTTGGCCATCTGGCCACCCCACTGCCCCAAATACCATCCTCTGTCACTTTAGCTAATAAGACTCTGACTTTCCAATAGATCTCTAGCTCCCTCATGTCTGAATTCAATTCATCTGAATTGTGGTGGGCCATCAATGAGTAATCTGTATAAAAGCAGGTCTCACCCACTGCCTTTCAAGAACTACTCATCCTTCTGTCTCTACCTACTTTTCATTTAAAGTCGTTGGTAACCTAAACCAAACTATTTTGGTAGTGTGGTGGAAAAAGAAGTCAGACTGCAAAGGATTATAGAAAACATTGGCGGCGAAAATACCATGGACTTATATCACTCTTTCAGAAAAATTGGATATAGAGGGCCAGATATAGTATGCACAATCATAATCCCAGATGCACAGGAGGAGGAGGTAAGAGGATCATAGTATGAGGTCAGTCCCAAACAAAAGCACAGGACACCCTATCTAAAAATAAAAACTAAAGCAAAAAGGACTGGGGGTATGGATCAAATGGTAGACTATCAGGCTAGCAAGCACAAGCGCCCTGAGTTGAAAATCCAAGGTCATTGATTTTGGTAGGTTTTCATTATTTATTTTTAGATTACCAGAGACTTGAGTATGATTATAAGCTAAGGAAGGAAAAGAAATAGGGAGAAGTTCATATAGAAAAGGAAGTTAATATGTGAAGGATAAAAATCCCCCCAGAAGACCAGCATGAGGGGGGAATAAATTGAGAATTTATTTTGATAGGTAAAGATGTTGCCTTGCTACTGTAAAAATATGGTGAAGATAGATCTTTTAAATCTACAGGCAAGAGGTATGGAAGTTGAGGAAGATCAAATCTCATCACTTCAAATTTCTTAATAAAAATAGGAGACAAAGTGTACTGACAATAAGTCTGTAGGACAAAAGTAAGATATTGAGATAGAAATTAAGGGAAGTGAAAGTGACCGCTAAGTCATATGTTTAAAAGGACAGATGAGTGGTACTGAGACTCAGCTATGGATTCTGTAAGTCTGGTAGTGTTCATTGCAGCTCGCTGCATGGTGGGTGACTTTTTTTCACCTGAAATTGAAAACCCAACTTGTCTACCAAGAGAAGATTAATACATCCATATCAAGGTTGGATGTATTTAGAAGGAAAATTAACTGAGATGAAAGGAAAACTAAAATGGTTAGAGAAGCATGGTTGTAATCAGGGAGACAGACCTGAATATAGTTTTAGAAAAATTAATTAATATTGAGATAAGCTTGAAAAATTGGAGAAAACCAAATAGTGAAATGTAAAATGTCCAGAGTTTGACCTTGAAGTTTATAACAGACTATTAGATGGGATTTAAAATGGTTCAAGAAAGAAGGATGACTAGGGGGAACACCAGGGATTTTGAGGACAGTAAAACTACTCTGCATTATACTGTAAGGTTACATCCATTGCATAATATACTTGCCAAAACCCACAGAAATAAAACCTATGTGAACTAAATACTTTAGTTAATAATAGTGTATCAGTATTCTCAATATTGTAACAAATGTATGACACTAATCCAATATGCTAATAATAGAAGGAACTATTTGTATTTCTCACTCAATTTTTCTATAAACCAAAACTTCTCTTAACAATAGTCTACTTAAACAGTGGTCCAAAATGATTGCTGTAAGGAACATCTACATTGATACTGAAATCTGTTAGAAGCTTGGTAGTTTGGGGGATGAGGAGTAAAGAAACTGTTGTGCAGTCTATCTGGTACAGACATTTAAAAAATCTACCTTAGGAAGCACACGTAATTGAAAGTAAAATAAAAGAAAATAAAAATAGAGATAGCTTGCATAGAATTTCACTGACAAAGAACAAAACTCAGGTTCCTTGACTATCTAAGAAAACATGCAAAACTCCAGGCCTCTATAAAATAAGGAAAATGATAGAAGTGAATTAAGTCCATGGAAATTCAAATTAAAAACATTTTTTTTCCAAGTCATTCTCAAGTTCTTAATCTTTTTCTCTGCCTTCTGTGGTCACTTCCACTGCCATTCCATATAATCCTGCACATAGATTATGTGCTATTGCTATAGAAGATCATAACACTTGGCTGACTTGGCTCAATACCATTCTTGCTAATGTCAACAGACCTTTCCCTGGTTTTTGTTGAATTCATTAGGTATTGATCCTTTATTTAAATACCACCATGGCCATTATAAACATTTTCCATACATTTCAAGTTTCAAGTGGAGTCCTACTGTCTATCTTGAACACCCTTCATTGTTAGTTTTCAAAGCTCATGGTTGACTGTAAAGACTAAGAAAATCAAGTGTCAGTCCCTTGTTTTCTTGCCACTCAACCTCAAAATCCTTCCACTTATTCTCTTATCCTTTGTAGCAACACAAAAGCTCTGAGTTGAAACAGACATTAGCTGTGGATACAGGTGATGTATTTGCTACCTAAGTGAGCTTAAGAGAGTCTTTAAAACCTCTTGAATCATAGTTTCCACTTCTATAGAATGAAGCTACAGTGAAAATTAACCAAGAAAATCAATTCAAGAATGGGTTGCCAGAAAAGCAACTACAATTTATCCTATCCGCTAGCACTGATAGATAGGTAAAATTTCCTCAGGTCTGTGTTTTAAAATATAGTAAATTCAACTTACATTTTGAAAGTCAGCTGACAGGATTTGCCGATAGACCAGATGGGGAAATGAGAAAAAGACCAAAAACAACCATGTCTTCTAAACTTATGGCTTTTTACCTTATTTTTTCAATCATAGTAGGAAAAGAGTACATCCTATATACTATATTAATCCAGATCCATTCCTAGCCACAGTCACCTCTCTCCTGTGTTGCAGTCTTGAAGGTCCAATTGCTCTTTCCATTTTTGACTTCCTGTACAACTTTTTTTTTTTTTAATGCAGTTACCTGTGTGACACAGTCACTTTTCTGGTGAAGGACATTTGATGGTGTCACCTCAGGGGAAAAAAAAAATCCTTAAAACTGTATGCATAATTTGCCCTACCAGCTCCCCATTATGACCTCTTCTGTCTCTCTCTTACTCACCTTACACAAAGGTCTTGTCCAACTTAAGCTTCATCATACTCTTTGAATCTCGCCTTTGCACTTCAATTTGTCCCATCTGACTAGATGGAAATATCCCTTTCTCCCCATCTTTAATTTTTTCTAGATTTTCTTA